TGGGCTTGGATCTAGGTTTTAGATTTCACTTGTCCAGCAAAAGCAGCTTTGAGTTCTAGCCTTACTTACCTGGTTTTGAACTCAGTTTTTGTTTTTGTAGTACTGAAAATTGAACTCAGGGCCTTGTACATTGCTAAGTAAGCACTCTACAGCTGAGTCATGTTGCCCAAACTGTTCTCAAACTTTCAATCCTCCTGCTGCCCAAGTAGCTGGAATTACAGGCATGATCCACTGTACCCAGCTCCTTCCAGATTTTTGTCAGGCAAATTTCTTTTTTAGTTATTTCAAGTTTTCAAAAAAAAAAAATCTTATACTGCTTCCTAATTGTCTTTAAAAGGAGAGTTGAATTACCTAGACCACAGGTGCTGGAAGCAGAAGCAAATATATATTCTTTAAAAATTAAATACCTTTTTCCCAGGTGCCAGTGGCTCACAACTGTTATTGAAGCTATCAGGAGGCAGAGATCAGGAGAACAGCAGTTTGAGGACAACCTGGACAAATAGTTCAAGAGCCCTATCTTGAAACCATTCAACAAAAAAAGGGCTGGTGGAGTGGTTCAAGTGGTAGAGCACATGCCTAGCAAGCTTGAAGCCCTGAGTTCAAACCCCAGTACCACCAAATACCTTTTATATATATACATATACATGTACACCTGAGTATACACTTTACACTATGCAAATGCATGTGAATATTAATATGTAATACCATAAAAATATGGTATGAGTGATTTCTGAAATAATTCTGAGAATGTGACATTTTCATGTAATGCTTTTTTTTTCCCAAAAGGAAGACACCCAGCAACAAATGGAGTTAATCAACTGTGACTATTGTTCTTAATGAAGTTCTATGAAAAGTTTGCACACTTTTCCAGCACTGTTGGTCACAAGAACAGTAATGTCTGTATATTTCCTGGTTGAGTCCCTATTTGACAGTCTTTATTAAAACAACAGAGAGATAAGTTTTTCCTTTGACAAAATCCTTAATGAAGAGTGATTTTTATGAACATGTATGCCCAGAAGATTCAGACATTTTAAAAACATGGTATTACTATACATACACATATGGTATATATGTCATTGACATATGTGGCTGTATGTCATTGGGAAATCTCTGTATCTGTGACCAAGGGCCTCCTCTTTTGAGGTCCAGAATATTTTTAAAAATTCCCATCTTCAGTGGAAAATTTGAAGTGCAATGAAATATCTGAATTTGTCATTGTTTCAGAGTGAAAATAAAGACCATTTCGCAAATGTCTGTATCTTGGCATTCTGAAACATCAGGCTAACAGCAAAGCAATTTTCCTTGAACAAGAGAAGAACTAGGTCAAAGTGGAGTCATTCTTAATTTTAGGTTTGAAGACCTATGTATACATGCAGTATAAGGAATACTTACTGAAAAAAAGATGTGCATTAGGTCAAAGGTATAATTTGAGGTTCTCTATCCTGCAGTCATTCAAATGCCTAATTAAAAATATTTTTAAGTATCAATATCCCAAGTATTTAAAAATAGCATCCTTTTTCAGATTATGAAAGTAATGCTTACTCCAAATTTTTTTTTTTTTTTGGTGGAATTGGGGTTTGAACTCAAGGCTTTGCACTTGTGAAGCAGGTGCTCTACCACCTGAGCCATACCTCCAGTCCCCCAGATGTATCTTTCTTTTCCTTGTATCCAGTGATGTGGTGTGGTTCTAAAAAGTCTTAGAAAATACTAATGCAAATTGACTTATTTTTTAATATTTTAGAAGTGAAGTAGAAATCACCTATCATTAGTAAAATCTACAAAAGCTAACAAAAACCATTGTACCAAAAATGGTATGATGCTGATTATTACAATGCTGAAGTTCTGCCTTTTAGTTATTTTCCAGGTAAGGTTTTGCATTTTTGCCCAGACTGTAGTCCTTCTACCCATGGAGACCATATGTAGCTGGGACCAAAGGCACACACCACCACGTCCAGCTTATCGAGATGGGGAGCTTACATTTTGCTCAGGCTGGCCTCAGACCATGATCTTCCCATTCTCTGTCTCCTAAATAGCTGGGATTACAGGTTGGGTACCCCTCTCCCCCCACTTAATCCCAACCAGGCAGAAAGCAGTGTTGTTGTTTTTTTTTGAGAAAGCAGTATTTTTAACAAGACATTCAAAACATTGATAGCTGGGCATGGTGGCACATGCCCGCAATCCCAGTACTCAGGAGACTGAGGCAAGAAAATCACAAATTTGAGGCCAGCCTGGGCTACACAGTGACATCCTGTCTCAAAAGAAAACAAGTAACAAGTGACAAATAAACAAATACAGTGTATGGGAAGAAAATATTTAAAAGCATGAGTCAGGTGTGCCTTATGCCTGTAATCCCAGCATTTGGGAGGCGTAAGCAGGAGGATTGCCAAGTTCAAGGCCAGCGTGCGCTACATAGTGATACTGTCTCAAAACACCAAAACCAAACCAAAAACATGGCATAGCAAGGCATGTTAGTGCCTGCTTGTAATCATAGCACCTGGGTGGTTGAGGCAGGAGGATCTCAAGTTCCAGGCCAGCCTGGGATACCAACAAGACCATCTCAGAAATATACATACACATACGTTCAGAAATAAATAGGTATTTTGGTATATCCTGGTCCGAGAGTAATCTAAATAATCACTGTCAATCTCATAGGACAGGTCTTTCATGAAACAAGTAGATGCTCCAGGGTACCCAGACTCAAAATTCATCAGAGGAGCTGGGCTCCAGTGGCTCATGCCTATAATCCTAGCTACTCAGAAGGCACAGATCAGGAGGACCTTGGGAGTGGCTGAAGTTGTAGTGCACCTGCCTAGCAAGGGTGATGCCCAGAGTTCAAACCCCAGTGCCACCAAAAAAAGAAAATATAAAAACAAAACTCATAGGAATGGAGCCTAACACAATTCTACCTTTCCACTCACAGCCACATAGGTGAGCTTCCCAGAAGTGAAAAATACTGTATGTGAATATCTAGGCCTCAGATATGATGATAGTTTAGTATGTTTGTCATGTTTAGTAGATTCCAAAATGTAGTTGTTTTTCAATAGCTAACTTCTCCAACTTGAAAATTACGGCATTTATCAAGGATTTGAGTAGGACCTTTTGTGAGCTGACTGTTCTTTTCTCTCAATCACCCTGTGTGCTCACCAGTCCACACAAATATCAACATACAGAATATATGAACTCCCTTTGTGCAACTTCATCACAATGACAGCAAATAAATTCTGGTAACCATAAAAACTAACAATTTCAACACTTCTTTAAACTAGATGGCTTCAATGAAGTCTACAGCTTCTCTGAAACTATATTTATATGCTTTTAAGAGAACTTTTTAGATTCTCAAAAGGAGATAATCATTCAGTGGTATGAGAAAGCTTGTCTGCAATAGTGTTTGTGGTCTTTGAGAAACCAAAATAGTGGACATTGTTATTTGAAATGTCTAGATTTGAAATAACAAGAAATCTTATCAAATATACTTTTTAAAACTACACCATCCCGAGATTATGACGCCTCTCAAGATTAAACGATCACTTCAGTAGTACAAGAAGCCTTCATAACAAAAGCATTACTTTGTAATTCCCAGACCACCACCATTTATCCTTTCATAGTTTATAAACAATGGTTGAGAAGTCATGGTGTATTTTTGCCATTACACCAATCCTAAAAGTTCACATTTAATTTTGGCTGTTTCAAAGAAAAATATAAAACCCTAATCAATTCCAAAAATAGCTCATATTTTTGGCAGTACTGGGGCTTAAACTCAGAACCTCACACTTGCTAGGTAGGCTGCCACGTGCACATTTGAGATAGGGTCTGGCTATTTGCTGAAGATCCTCCTGACCTCTGCATGAGCTACCAGCACCCCGTATTTTTACAATAATTTTCAATTGACTAAAAGGTAATTGGAAGTTGTATTGCTTTTGCTTAGCAAACTGAGTGCACAGTAGTCTTCAGACTTGGAAGTTCGAGGGTTTTTGGGTTTTTTTTTGTAACAGAATTGTATTTCCTAATTTTCTTAACACTAGAATTTAAAAGGTATACATACATACACCTATCTCTGCAACTCAAAACTGCTTGGATACCTACATGATTTTTAATTGGTAATACTTAGCCTCATGTGGTTGATACCCAAATCAAACCTTAATAATTTATGATCCTTGCCACTATTATGAAAATAAAGATGCACTGAACATTAAGAGGCTCTGCTCACCCATGTTAATATTCCAACACTAACTTACTACCCTTATAAAGTAACTGAATATTGACATGTTAATGAAATTGCTAGTAAAGGTTTTCTGCTAGGTTGAGTAATGCCACACAGAACTTGGTCAAAATTAATCAGGAAGCATCTTTAAAATATTTGAGCTAATTTTTTATACTACCAGTGTTTTAAAATTTCATTCTACTCCCACCCAACTTCAACAGTCAGGTTAGTTTTAAATTAACTTACAGATAAAACCTTGAGACTAACTTTACAGTTCATCCAACTCTTAAGTGCCTCCTCCACTTAGTCTTGGCAACTTACTTGAAATTTTATCAGTGAATGAACTGATGAACCCTGGAGACAAAGCAAGTATTCTCAATTTCCCTTCAATTCTTGGTAAACCATCTCCTATGATCACCTTTACATATAGTGTATTTTCTCAGTGTCATACATATCAAGACTTAATTGAAGAGTTTGTATTTTGTTTAAAAAGCTTTTATTCATTTTACCAGGGAAAAGGACAATCTCAGTGTCAACTTGTCCCCTAAGCCTAAATTTGAACTTACAAGATTCACTACTCTAGATACTGCACCTACTATTAACACAACTGAAACAATCTCCCTTCCATCCCCTAAGGATGCATGTTCAAATAATTCCTTACAGTAGCCAACAATGGCACTTGGCCATAGCAAAACAAGACTAAGGCATAACTTGACAACCCAGCAAGTACAAATATCAAAGTTGCAGGTATCTAGTACTTAAAAAAAAAAAAAAAGGCAGTTATCAACATAAAAAATGTACACTGGTTGTATAACTGTGTGAACACGTACTCCAAACCTAGCAGCTTTATGTTGAACTATGGAAACTTGTCCAAATCAACTGATGTACATGTTGAAAAAGTCCATCAACAAGCTGTATATACTTTTACATACAACTATATCGAATGTGAAAGTCAAAGCTTATACTATCCAGGAAATCCTTTTAAACCCAAAGCTTTTCAATGCATCAGGTAAACTGTAATGATACAACTCAAGTCACTTAGACCAACATTAACCTAAACTTAACTCTTTTCCACTGTTCCTATGTCTGAATAAAGTGTAACTACTCAGCTCAAGCACTAATTGCACTTAAAGTGAGATGTACTGACATGACTTTTCCTAAGAATTCACACAAGTTCACTCAAACACAAGTCCAGAAAAAGGCCCAAACAGAAAACTTTTTGTTCAGTCTGCTGGTGACTATGGCACACCAACAGAACACAACTAAGTCATTCTGCATGTACTCCAAATCTTAAGTCTTTCAACCAACTTTAATGGATAATCTCATAGGTATCTGATGAAATCCTTACAACTACTTTTAATGTTCTTAAACCACAGCTCCTACCAGATTTGTTGTGTTTATCTGGATTTTTTTTCAAACCAAGAGAACTGAAATCACGGTGTTATAATTAGCCAAAGCTTTTGCCATCAGACCACTGATTAAATCAAAGAAATCATCGAACTATGTATGGTTTGCCAGAAACCAAAGGAGAACTATTAGCAAGTTCTCTTCCATTTTCTTAAACAGTCTGCCAGAAAGCTTTTTAAGACAGTCTCCAGCAGGGTAAAGATCATTCTTCAAAGGTATGAAGCTTCAGTTAACAGGGAAATGAAGCCTTGCACAGATTATACTTTAAAAAAAAATGGGGAAGCAGGTAAAACTGTGGTTGGCTATTTATAAAGGACCACGGTTTCTCTGTATGGACCAATACTTACTACAAAATAAACTGTGCCTTAATTATTGCTTCTTTAAAATCATGTTTTTACAGAGCTACGTAGTACCTGACGCAGAAAAACAATCACATAAGGAAGCATTTATTTGAGGTTTAACATGAAATCATACAAATAAAATTTGTATAAACACAAATCCACATTGAGTCATAACACATATAGCAAAGGACAAAGTAAAAACAAAGAAAACTAATTGGCGGCTATATACAGTTGGACACAATTGTGTCTTGTACACTAGAAAGTCTTTATAAAATAATCATCCTAGATCAACTGAAGACCAATCTTCAATGTTGTCCTGTAAGATGGATTTCTTTAGCATCTCCTAAAAATAAAAACAAAGTAACAATTAGATTTGTGTAACACTGACAAGCTTTCAAAGGTCCACTTTCATGAATTGTTTTAAGTCCTCACTTTATTCTTTTCTTCAATAATTAAAGATCACATGCATATTTATTATCAAAATGTCGTTTGGGTAATTGATAAAACTCATCCTGGAGTTCCCATATGGTGTTAAATTAAAATCTATTTAGAAAATAACCTGGGAATGTAATCTTCCCATATTCATAGGTTGAACAGAATAAGGCCTACTAGAAGCACCTCTAGTAAGCCAAGTAAAACGCTATCACAGACACAAATTTCTTACACGTTTATTGCAGTACGAGAAAATTAATTGCTTTGTGCATATGATCTTTAACTTATATCCCAGATTTAAAAGTTGTTTTGGTTTGTAGATTTCACTATTAGCTATAAAAAGAAAAAGCAAGCATTAAATCTTAAAGAATGAACACTTAAAATGAGGCTCCACAATTGAAATACAACACTAAACAGAAGACCAAAATGATTAAGCTGTAAAAAGGCATTTATGTACTTTAACTCCTGTAAAAAACCATTTAAGTTAAGTTTATGACACTTAATCTCCAAAAAGATTAAAAAAAGAAGCCAAAGTCTGAAGTTTTCCACTTTAATCTTTACGCTGGTACATGAAGTTGGAAGAGACCATACCACAGGACAGCGTTTTCTGGTGTATGCCTTGCGCTCTGCCCGCAACGTGCGACCCCCAGAGATAGACGTGGTCAGGGTGACACACGGCCTGCAATGAAGTTCCCGCTGGCGGGTACAAACAAGGTATAATGTCAGAGTTAGAAGACAACATTCTTGTTTTCCTTAAGTTGTACCCATTTCAGTACTTTACCTGTTAATAGTTCTAAAAAAGTTTAATTATTCCTCTAGACCTCCTGGTACACAAAGCAAACAGAAAAACTCTTAAGTTTTTCTGTAATACTAAAAAAGGTGAGGTAAAACTTTAAAAGTTAAAGATCTATAGACACTTTAGGCAAAACAGGCTTAAAACAATTACAAAATTAACAATTTAGTAAAAACAGGCTACATAATATTTTGTTTTTACTTATTTGTCTATTGATCTTTAAATTAAATTAGGTATTTCCACTGGTTTCTTGTAGTCTTATACACACCTGCTTTCTCCAATGTCCTCCTTTAGTATGGCTGGTAATTATTTTGGTGATTGCCACCCCCTCGAGATGCCTTGCCGTAAGTACTCTGTTGACCTGTTTTGAAAGGATAACATCTTCTAAGACAGTTTCCTATAAAATGGTGTCTTCACAAAGTAAGAAAGCTATTGAATGTGCAAAACTGCATACGAAACATTTAAATACTAAGATAGTTTAATAGCCATTATAGACTAATCATAGTTCATACATACTGTTAGCATCAGCATGACTGTAACACACCTCAAAAACTAAACGCTTTGATAAATGGAAAATCTACACACAAGCAAATTCCAGAATGGGAGTCTATGTCAACATTGAATTTCAGTACCACTGCTTTATAAAGTTAAGTTAAATATTCTTACCACTGTAGTCTGCATATCCCTGTCCATATCCATAGTTCCCATAGTTATACCCAGTATAATCATATCCGCCATAGCCACTATAGTTCTGATCACCACCATAGGCACTATTGTAATTTCCATATCCTTGATCATAATAGTTATTAAATCCTTGGTTCCAGTTTTGGCCCTGACCTGAAACAATGCACAATGATTGTTAGGAAATAACTTCTGACCCCCAATGCTAACACAAAATGAAGCATCTTGTCCCTTACTCTGCAAAATTTTAAAACGCAGAATGGATATAACTTTCTGCTAAATACTTCAGAAAGTTGTTTTTCCTGTTACAAATAAGGGGGCAGAAAGTCCAAATTGTGCCAATATCAAGTTCCTAAATTTATTCAGAAATCATTAATTTCCTATTAAAGCTGAAGAGGGGTTATGTTGTTCTGCCTAAAACAAGGAAGGACTGCCAAGACAAGCCATCACGCCATGGTGTATCATGTAGTGGTATCATTTCCCTACCAGTGATGACACTTCCAAGTGGCTATTACAATAGGTGAAACCACTAAACCCATTAAAAAAACCCAAAAAACCCCAACCTTCCCACCAAGCCAGCATTCTTCCATGATGCAATAGTTTTGGGGTTTAAATCTAGCTTTGCATTCTTACTTGGTTAATCTTGCTTAGCAGCATACAGCTCAAACCACAAGTCATTTTCCAAGAATTAAGCCTCACCTCGGCCACGACCCCTAGTACCACCTCGTCCACCAGCTGCAGCACCTCTTCCTCCTTTCTGTTGTTGCTGTTGCTGCCTATATACCTCTTTGGGTTGCGCAACTTTGATTTCACACTACAAATTTAAAAACAGATTTTTTTTAAACTGATGTTCTAACACTAAATTGCTTTTCTTCTTAAATCCTCCATATTTTCATTTAATTAAATAGTTTTACCTTTCCAGAACCAATTTGATGGTATCTGCTTTCTAACAATTTCTTTACTGGCTCTTCATCTGTATATGTGATAAAACAAAACCCTCTTCTTTCATTCGTCTTTGTATCCATAGGAAGTTCAATATTTTCAATCTGAAATCAAGATGCATATTCAAGATCATCCAGTAGTGATAAGGTCACCAAATGGTTTCAGATTGCTACAGGTCCCTTTCAAGCTTTGACATAGCATGTTACTCCAACCAGATGACTTCTGAACAGACATCACCACTACCTTATGGCCAATCTAAAAAGATTTGCTGTATAGGTTAAGCATACAGAGTAAAATATCCTTTAATACCATTCTGCACGCAAGAGATGCCACCAGTTCCTAAATCCAAACACTAGCCACACCGGGTTTTGACCAAAACCAAATTAGATACTGGTTTCCATTACAGTAGAGGAAGCAAAAATTAAAATACAGTAATTATAAGGCACTTAAGTGGTAATATAACGCTTATCCTCACAAAGCATTACATCTATACAAACTGGGGTGAACATTATGTAAACAAACCCAAGTCATATGCAAACAATCACAGCCCACCTCTCCGAAGGCGCCAAAATATTCCTTGATCTGTTCTTCAGAAGTATCTGGACTCAATCCACCCACAAAAACCTTTTTAGGGGGTTCTTTCCCTTTTAAAGCTTTGGCCCTTTTGGGATCTATCAATTTGCCATCCAGTTTGTGTTCTTTCAGTTCCAAAACCTAGAAGACAATTTTATTTAAGTTATAGTAAGTCCCAGAACAATTTGCAAAAAACACACAATGCAAAATGCAATACATATTCCTACCTTATCAACACTAGAAGCATCTTTGAAAAGCACAAATCCAAATCCTCTTGATCTTCCAGTGACTGGATCTGTTTTAATTGTGCAGTCTACAACTTCCCCAAATCGAGACAAATACTCAGTCAGATCTTTCTTGCTTGTATCCCAGCTCAAGCCTCCAATAAACATTTTACTAAAAATAAAAAGTTACTTTTGTAAAAGGTTAGCAGTAACTTAAATGACTTCAGCCCTGGAAGTAAACCGTGAAATAAGCAGAGAAATGTACCTGCCTAAGCGCAAGCAATTTAGCCTATTTTTACAGACACACGAACAGACCACAGATCTCAAAATTCCAGCCAGGTTACTTATTCAAAACAGCAGACGGCTTACTCTACACACTGCATAACGCAAAACTGAAGCTCAACTTAGATCGACTTTTCGTCCTCAGCTGTTACGCCAACATCCCACCCAAAGAACCCGTCGTGTGGGCGGGCACATAGGTCCCAGCTGTCTCCGGGCGCCCAAACCAAAAGTTTCCCAAACTCCGCTAGAAAACCGCCAGAGCAGAGCAAGACACACAATGAAGAGGCGGCGGCAGCTGCTGCATGTGGCGCAGCGAGGCCGGCCCCTCCCCCCCCGCGGCGCCTGCGCACTCGGGACCCGGACGCCACCGCCCTCCTCCTCCAACCCCTCCGCCCTTCCCCCACCGTCCGCGGACCTCTCCAAGTCACCCCTCCGTCTTACTTTCCTCTTCCCTCCAAGCTAGGGGGGCCCAGCCGGCACGCGGAGAATCGACTCGGAAAGAATAGGGGCAGCGCGCGGGTCCCGAGGGACGAAGGGCGCGTGCGGCGCGCTGGGGGAAGGGAGGACAGGGGAGAAGCGTGCGGTACCCGTCATCCTGCTGGTTCTTGCTCGCGTTGATTTTGGATCCCTCTGCGAATTCCTCTATGTTGCTGTACTCGTTCATGTCCTCCATGGTGGCGGAGCTGTCGGCAAGGGAGTGCTGGCGCGCAGTCCGGGTCGCGGCAGCAGCGGTGGCGGAACGTTGTATGGAGCTAGATTTAAAATGGCGGCGGAAGAGATCCGGGCGCCGCCTGCGCCCTCCCTTTATAGCCGCCCCGCCCGCCAATCGGGAGGGCTGCTGGGCGGTGACGTGGCGCTGGGTCCGGCGCGCCCCCTGCCGGGCGGAGCTGGAAGCGAGCGAAGGGAGGAGCGGGGCGAGCTGCCGGGGTGCCCGCGGCCGCCAATGGGAAAGGCTGCGGGAGGCTAAAGTAGCGGGAGCGGAGGGGAACAATGGCGGCGGCACATGGGAAAGCCGGGGCGGGACCTCCATCTCAGTCCTCCCGGTGAGGAGCGAGATCGCCCTGGGGGAGCGGGAGGGGGAGAAGGCGGGCTTGGGATCACAGAGGAATCAGATGAGAAAAAACGAAGGGACGAGAAGTCCTGGGGCCAGAAATCCCAAGCCACGCCGTCGCCGGGCCACAGTCCCTCTTGCCTTGAGAGCCTTTGTCTCTGGCGTCCGGTCCGACCCAGGCCTACGAAAGAGCTGTCACCCCTGGCATTTTGCGCCCTCGGTCCCCCAGTGCGGAGGTGCTGCGGCGGCCGCTGCTACCGACTAGCACCGTGGCCGGTTGCTCCGGAAAAAGGCGGACTGCGCTCGGCGCTGGCGGCTAAGGCGGCGAGCGCGCTCGTCTGCCGCGCGCACGCGTGTTTTGTCCTCACGCTGGCTGAAAACCAGCCGAACAGGAAGCGGGTACGCGGTGGCCCCTCCGGGGGGCGGCGCGGCGGGGGCGCCTCTTCCGCTGCCGCCTCGGGTACGCCGGCGGGGGAGGCGCGGCAGACCTCCCCAGCAGGACTCTGCCGTAGTCGGGGCCCAGCACGGCCTCCTAGCGGGCTTGAGGGCGCGAGGAGGGCGGGGCCTGGTCAGGTTACTGTGGAGACGCCAAAGCGGAGGCAGTGGGCGGGGCGGGGCTGGGTGCAAGAGAGGGCAGGAGGCACTCACATCCCCGGCGCGCCACTCGCGGGGCTCCAGTCTGCACGTGCCCTGGGCCTCTCCCGCAGGCTCCACCAGTCTGCGGAGGGCGCGCTCTCGCGCACCGAGCTCCCGCGTTCCCTTCTTTGTTCCCGCCCACGCGAGGCCCATTTTGACGGATCGCTTTCGAGGCTCGCTGGCGGCCAATCAGCGCGGGCGCCCCTGGTTTCCCCGCCTCCTCGGAACCTGCGAGCACCGCCCCTCTCCTGCCCACGTGGTCTGGGCCTGCCGCTCTCCAGACTCCGAGTGCAGGCTTGGGCGGGTCTCTATCCCTGGCTAGTCCGCGTAGGTGGCCTCTCTTTCGCGCTTCAGGCCTCGCCGCCGCCTGCTCCCAGATTGTTGTGGGGCTCTGCGGAGTCCAAAGTTGTCCTGGGACGCAGCCGTCGCCGCCATCCGCGCTCCCCGCCCGCAGGCCGATTCCCGTGGTAGCATCCGGTAGGGAAATGGTCGTGCTTTCGGTGCCCGCCGAAGTCACTGTGATCCTGTTAGATATCGAAGGTACCACAACCCCGATTGCTTTCGTAAAGGTGAGGGGCGGAAGGGAGTGGGGAAGTTACTTGTGCTTAAAGACATTTTAAAAAATTTTAAGTATTGCAGACTTTGCACTAGAGACTCGTGATTGGAAGAACGGTGTGGAACAGGCTGCGGCGGGCTGCGGGGCTGCTTCTCCTTGCCGCACCCGGTCCCTCCCCGCCCTTGCCCAGGGTGAGATGCACATGGGTAGGAAGAAACGGTTGGAGAAAAGACGGAGGCGGGGCTGGCAGCTGGGGCGAGGGCGGTGGTGTGGACGTCCACCGCTCGGCCCACTGGCTCTGTCTTTCCCAGCGAGGCGGTAGCCTCGATCTAATGGCTCTTGAGGTCGAGGCCCTCCACGCGGGACGACTAAGGCGACCAGGTGACTTCTCAAGTGGCCTAGTAGCTTGGGCAGTAAAGCTGGGTCCTCGCCCTTCTCTCTGCCGCCGGTGGTGGCCGAACTGTTCACGGTTTTTCCACTCGTCTGTGCTCCGTGGTCCACAGCACTGATTTACCATGGAATACTTCTAGATTCCATTCTTTTTCCTTGGGAAACCATGCTTTTATTCACAGTATTCTTCTGTTAACCCACAAATGTGGAGACCTAATTCCAGGCTTGCAGCTTTGCTTTATGACAGGCTCCCTGTATGTATTTATTCTATTGGTCTGTCAGAATAAATACACGTTACCGTAGTAACTTCCTTTGCTACTGTATGATGTAGAGAAAAACAGAACAAACCCATCGTCCAAGAAACTGGGCAACCTGAGTTTTAAATTCTGTTAGTTTAGTTTTAAAAAATTACCTGTGAAGAATGATTTTCTAGAGGTAAGTTATAATATAAAATCCACTTTTAGGAATCCAAACGTAACAATACTTATTTTTTTTAGAAGAATCACAGAAACTTGACACCTTAGCAGTGGTTCTGAAGAAATCTGTTTAGACATTCTTCCAAGTTTTTAATCACACCAAAGATCTCGTGGGAAATTTTAGGATCACCAAAATGCTGATAATTGGGTTGACTACCTTTTTCTTACTGTGGTTTTCAGAGAAAAAAAGGATTCCTAATTTGGGGGATGTATAGCTTACAGCTTAGTCATTCCATTCTGGCTCTCTTGCTTCTTGCTTTTAGGAGACCAGGGGTAATAGCAGCCATGTGGCATTAGATATGTTGATTTGGGGAATGAGATGCCTCATACAGATCAGTGTTATAACAAAGCATAACTCCCTTCCCCCACCTTTTTTTTCACTTACACCTTGTGTTTGATGACCGTGAGCCACTTCTGGTAATCCTTGTGGCAGACTTACTCTGCAATCTGAGAATAAAAATACCCTAGTGACCTAAATAAATTGTTTGACACCAGACTACATGCAAATTCAAGGCAAGCTCCAAAAGAGTGATTCAGGAATCTTGTCTAAAAGATAGTTTCCAGTGCTTGCCCGCTTGTTATCTCAATTTACTTTCAAGGTCAGGCTGCAGGACTGCAAGTTCAAAACCAGCCTGAGTAACATAAACCAGCATCCAAACAAATAATAGTTTCTAATATTTGTACTTTTTTTTTTTTTTTTAGCAGTACTGGGAACTAAGCTTGAAACTTGGTGCTCTACCATTTGAGCCACACCCCTAAGCCCTTTTTTTGGCCTTTTTGAAACAGGGTCTTACAGTGTATCCCAGGCTGTCCTCGAACTTGGGCCCCTCTTGCCTCAGCTTCCTGAATGCTGGGATTATTGGCATACACTACCACATCTGGCCTTAACTGTTCTTAATCTATTATTTGTTTTACACGAATTTATCAAAACCAATATTTCAAAAAGTACCACGGGAAGAATGCTGCATCTGTGGTTGTTTATGGTAATTATGCAAAAAAATCCATTAAATGCACTTTTGGAAATGTTAGTCTGAATATGTTCAACTAGGTTTTCTCTTTTTCTTTTCCTCTTGTCTCCTCTCCTCCCCTCTCTCCTTCCCTCCCCTCTCCTTTCCTTTCTTCAACTGGGATTTGAACTGAGGGCCTCACACTTATTAGGGCAGATGGTCTACCACTTGAGCCACTGTCTCCAGCCCTCAACTAGGTTTCTTTATGGCATGATTTCTCACAGTCTTTGTCTCATACACACTCTGTGAATCTTGAAGAGAGTAGCATTTCATGAATTTGCTTGAATAAGAAACTTAGTAGAGTAGCTCAAGGACTAATTTTTTTTTTAAACACTTTTAAAGTGATAATAAATTGTTTTTTTTTTTTTGGCAGTACTGGGCTTTGAACTCTGGGCCTCATGCTTGCTAGGCAGGTGCCCTACCAGTTGAGCCACTCTGACAGCTCTTTTTGTGCTGGGTGTTTTTGAGATAGTGTCTGGAAAACTGTTTGCCCTGGACTGGCTTGAAACCGAGATCTTCCTGATCTCTGCCTCCTGAATAGCTAGGGATATAGGCATGAGCCACCAGTGCCCGGCTTTCTTAAACTTCTAAGCATAGAGCTGGGAGTTGAAAGGTGTTCTCTGAGCATTACTAGTCAGAGTAGTTCAGTGTGTGAACTTGTAGCCCTGTTGCCTATGGAATGATGGAAGGGAACACTGAGTACTGGATACATGTGGAGTACTTGACTCATCCTCAAAACTTGGGGCATGTATATATTGTCTGCATTTTACTAAGGCTCTGAAAAGTTGGACAATATGCTTGGGATTTGAACCCAAACTCTCTTACTCTTTCCATCATTGCACTTCTGTAGTGGTACCACAGTGTTTGTCAGGTCTTCTTTGCTTGGCTGCTATATATGATAGGAGAGCACTTCATTCATATGAAGTACCATAAAAGAACATGGTAACAAATTTCAGCTTACATTACCTTTTGATGATAGATTTAGATAGAATCCTTGGACCAGAATAACTAGTTATCTGAGTGTTTGGTTCTACAGTTTCTGTCTGCTGTGCAGAGTATTGTCACAAATTGCCATTGAAGTACCCTTAGGAAGTCAGTTCTCTTTGCAGACTGACTTTCCTTCTTTAAATCAGCTAGTTTTTCCTTTAGGGTTGAAATATAGTCCTGCTTCTTCCCTTTAGCATCAGATAAAGTAGTTGTTTTGGTATTAGGTGATACAAGTGAATAATGTGATGTCAGGCTGTAGCCTCCCACCGAGCTGCTCAGACTATAAGATACTGGGGAACTGACACTATCCCTGGGAACAGAACACCGTCATTGGGTGGAATAGCAGATTGCTAGCACTATTGCCATTTTTTCCCTTTCTCTTTTTCGCCTTGCACCTGAGGTTGAATGTGTATGGGATGCATGTAAGCATTTGTAACAGCGTCAGCAGTCCCTGGTGTCTTAAGAGAGTCCATAAACTTTACCAGTTTGGGAAGTGATGTTCTCTTGTTGGCTCTGTTAGGTCACCCCTTCTGCTATCAGGTTCTAGACAAATCAGACTGTTTGTTTTGTTTTGGTGGGGCTCGGGTTTGAACTCAGGACTTTGTATTTGCAAAGTAGGCGCTCTACCAGTTGAGCCACACCTCCAGTCCCAAACATTGGTTTTACTTTTTGTCAATTACATCTCATTTGTAGAGTCATAGAATTTTCAGATTTCTAGAGCAAGAAGGATTGTCTAGTGAACGTGGCAACAGGCTAACTTCTCATGCTCAGAGAGGTGTCCTGTGTAAGGATTCTCACAAGTGTCTGGGAGGCAAGCCGGAGTAGAACCCAGCTGCCCCTAGATGTTCCTACCACATCTGTGTCCTCAGAGTCACCAGCTGTGCTCCTCTCTACAGGACGCATGCCTCTCAAGTTTTTTTTTTTTTTTTAACAGATTCTGAGTGGCGATCTCCCAACATTTTTTGTTCTTGTACATTAACAGAATTGGAGCAAGCATAGCCAATATAGATTATGTACACATCACTATTATTGAGTTTTGAAATAAATTGCAATTTTTTAAATTTTGATTTTTTTAAATTTAATTTAATTTTTGCTTGTTTATTTTTTAAGGTAGGGTCTAACTATATAACCCAGGTTCATGTCAAACTTGTGATCCTGCTGCCTCAGTCTCTGAAATGCTGATATTACAGGTGTGTACAACTATGCCTGGCTTAATAAATTGCAATTTAAGGGTGAGATTAAGATGGAGGTGTGGCTCAATTGGTAAAAGCCCTGAGTTAAAACCTCAGTACTGCTAAAGATGAGATTAATATAAATCAATGTTTTATAAACTCTCTTTTTTTTTTTTTTTTAATTTTGGCAGTACTGAGGCTTGAACTCGGGCTTACACCTTAAGTCTCTGCACCAGCTGTTTTTTATGATGGGTTTTTTGAGACAGGATCTCACAAACTATTTGCCTAGGCTGGCTTACATGTGATCCTCCTGATTTCTGCCTCCTGAAGAGCTAGGATTACAGGTGTGAGCCACCTGCATTGGGCTATAGTCTCTTCTCTTATCCCATTGAATCATCTTGCATGCTTTCTGCAGTATGCACCTGTTATGGAAGAAGCATTTGATCTTTGTGGTGATGTAATAAGCATATTCTTTGTGTGTTGTGTTATTCTAGCGTTTTTTAGCCTTTAAGCCTATGAAGTAACACCATCAGCAGTCCTTGTGATCATCGTATTCAGGAACCTTTAGCATTGTTCCTGAGTTTGGGAAAAATGATTACTTGTTTGGTATAATGCTCTAAATCTCATATTTTTCCTGTTGGTACTTAAGTTAGTACATGTAATAACAGCTTTGATAGTTAGATTCTGTAAAGTTGCTATGAACACTGCTGCCCCTAGAGATAAAACTAGGTTAAGTTCCTTCGAGCCTCTGGTGATATTTTCATCAACTGATCTGTACATAACCTTGTTTTATGTAAGTTTCTGGTTGCCTTATTTAAACCAAGTTTTCAAATCGTTAACATTGAAGTGCAGCCAACAGCACTGGGACTAGTGCCTTATATATAAAGCTTATCTAGCACACATTGTCTTCTACAAAGCATATCACGACCTTCTGAGTTGAGGAACACTAGACAACACTTCAGCACTTTGCTTCAAGGCCAT